TCGCCGAATAGAATTCTAGTTGTCTTATAGGGGGGTGGACAATGTGTATGATATATATATATATATATATATATATATATATACGTATACATATATAGATATATATATATATATATATATATATGTATATATATATGTGTGTGTGTATGTGTGTGTGTATGCATATATATGTATATGAATATGTATATGTATGTATATGTATATGTATATGTATATGTATATATATATATATATATATGTATATGTATACATATTTATATATATGCATACATATATATATTTATACATAATTATACATATATATATATATATATATATATATATATATATATATAGTAACGACGAGCATATGTTGACTAAAGGCAAGAGAAGCCGGAAGCTTTCTCCTCTCGCTATATATCCTCAGCGTCCGAGATTGTAGACGAGGGTAGATATGCACATGTTCATGAGACAGACTATATGCGAGTATGTGCACTTGACGTATAGCAGAGATGCCGTGTTTATACAAAACAACGAGCTTTCAAACCTCAGTCGCACCCACCAACACCACCCCTATTCATATGCATATGCCACTAGTGGGTGCGCACAGGCCCAGACACTACAAATAGCACTACACACCCACACAGTTGAACTATAGCGACAGTATATCGTTTCAGGATCTTACAATTGTTGTACAATCGGCTATCTTTAGCTTTGCATTCAACGGACAGGAATATTAGCAACATTGCCCAATACTGATTATGGTGTATATACCAGTACAAACACAAAGCTTGCCACACCATCCCTAAATCTGGCATCTTCACGACTTTTACGAAACCTTCTCCTGCATACCAGGTACATGACTCATGAAAGTGAGTGGTGAGATACTGAGAGTGCGGATAGTCATACCTTCATTAGCACCCCAAAGCGCGTACAGAGGCATATGCAGCCTTCTCTCAGCCTCTCCGGCGTCGTTTTGTATGTAATTGTGCAGCTCGCTCAGTATGTTCTGCTCTTTCATTGCTTCCCTCAACCGATCTTCTTTAAACTCGAGGAGTTTATCTTTGTGCTCCGGGAGTACTCCTTTTTGCTCCCTGAGTAGTTTTCTTAATGTGTGTATGGGCAGGTTGTCGTAACTCGCGGCGTCGAAGAACCCGAAATTGCCGCAGCTCACTATCGCTTTTGCACCGCTATAGACGGATACAAGACAAGAGGGAGAAGGCAACCAGAGGCATGAGAACAAGTACACGAGTGTCGCCTTGCGAGTTTGGATTGGTTCAATGGAGGCTGACGTCACTCTCCAACGATTGAATCAGAATGAACATGGCTTAATAGGAATGTGAGGCGCCCACGTATAGAGCACAGCGAAGTTCAACGTATGTATATATGTAGTATCTCTTATGAAATAAATAAACACATATATATATTTACTCATATTTATACACACTACTACATGATTCTCGTTGGGAAAGGGTGTGACTTAGAGCGGTACTGTACGGTACGCAAGCTCTATGGACTCCTGCAGTGCAATTTCCGATTCCTACGCATGCGCTTCAACACTTTACGGTAACTAAGTCACACCTGTGGTATGTGGCAGGGTGATACCAAGGTGATCAGCAAGATATATTGGATCCCGCGTACTAAAATATACTAGCGCTGTGTGATGGCACTTATTAGTCATTTGTTTACAGAATCATAGAAACATATGGTGTAAATCCACACCACCGAACAATATCTTTCGCAGTAAGCATACACAACCACCGTTTCAAAAGTTCTATTCCGGTTCAAGGCCGTAGTGTGGATACGCCAAAGGAAGCTTGTACATAAACACAAGAGCCTATAGCGGGGTCAACGTCCCACCCCACAATGTTATACGCACTGAACAGCCGTACAAATTATGCTAACGTGCCCATATACATTCACGCTTGTATACAACCCCACATGCATACTTCTACACGCATACATATACATATTTGTTTACATATCGTACACGCCTATTCACATACACAAATAAATGCTAACCAACACGCACATGTACATAGCTACACCCACCTTTTCTCCGCCAGATTATTGAGCAGGTGCAGCCGCCCACACACGTGCGACACCATGAGTATCCTGAACGACCTCCTGCCGGGTGTGTCGAATGTTTGTGTGCGAATGTTATTTTGGTTCGCCTGTTCCGCGGGTGTACTTCCGACTAGCGGTTGCTTTGTCTTTGGTGCTCGTGGTTGCAGGTGTTGCTGTGCATCAGGCCGAGCCCCCTCTGGCGTGCTTGCCGTTGGTGTGTGGTTGTTGGGTAGCAATGGAGTCTTGGCCCTGACATTTGACTTTTCTGCATCGTCTGTTGGTGCTGGTTTAGCAGACTCGGTTTCGCTTTTCATCGTCTCCTGTCCGTTTGCTGTCTCTGAACTCTTCCCATGTTTCTCGACATCGTTATCTGCACTCTTACTAGCCCTATCCGCGTCCTCAGTCGACTCCACTGCCGACTCTTGCACCTTACCTGCACCAACTAGGACAGGACCGGTCTCTTGATTGTTCTTTTCTAACTTCCTCTCACTCTCCGCTGCACGCGTATCGCTCACATCTGTCTTGTTACCCATCATCTCTGACGTCTCCTGACTGCGAAGCTCGGCATCCACACTCTCATTGACACCGCCAACATCTGCACTAGACGGCTGCTCCGCTTCATTCGACGCCTCTACTACAACCGCAGAGTTCTGTTTCTCTGTACCTTCACCTGCCATCCCTTCGCCCGCACTACCCTTCAGTTCGTCATCGTGACCTTCCTGTGCACGGTCTCTCGTCAGGTGGCTATCCCCATCCCTTCTGGTCCCTAACACCGCCAACATCTCATCCGACGAGTCTGTGGCTGAGTTCACACTCACAGGACTGCTTCTGTCACCGTTCGAGCCCGCATCTCTGCTACCGTGGCCCTGGCTGCCCGTCTGCGCACCCACCGATGGCTCCTGCTTGCCCTCTACCTTGTCACTGTCCTCCTGTCTCTCAGAGGTGCCTGTATTGTCAGTAGTACTGTCCTGTGCCTCACCGCTGACCCCATTGGCCTTCTCCGTCTCCTGGGTCTCTCCAGACTTTGCATGGGTCTTTGATGCACCCGCATCAACAGCCTTCACCTCCTTATTTGCATCTGCATCTGTACTCGTACCGAACTTCTCCGTCTTTTCCCCGTATTGCTCAGCACTCTCACTCTCCCCATCTTTCTGCAGGGTCTGCCCTCCATTTGGCTGTGTGCTCGCATTCGACTTCCCCGAGCCCTTGTGATGCCCCCCAGATTCCTCCCCGTCACTGGCGATTTTGCTCTGGCCTTCACCCATCGTCTGCGTGTCTGGCTTGTGACCAATCTCCACCAGCGCAGTATCTCCACCTTCCCGCCTCAAGTGCGCCCGTTCGCTGTCTACTACGCTTGTGTCACCCACACTTACAACCCCGTCCAACACTATGTTCTCTTTATTTACGTCAGCTGCGTGTGCTGATCACGAGAGGCTCACACAGCTATGCTTGGGTTGCTCTTCAGAGGTATTGCCGTGGTTGGCCACGGAATCTGCAGGCAATGAGGGGTTCCGAATTAGGGAAGTATCCCCATTGACAGGCATTTTATGACCCAGCACGATTGTAAGTGGACAGGACTGTGCAGAAGAATAGGTATGTATCGCTTGCAAGTGTACACACCCCCGTATGTAGTATGTACTTACTGTGTAACGGCAGTATGCGTAATCTAAACTAATGCTAAGCACTGGTACATATATATATGTGTGTGTGTGTGTGTGTGTGTTGTGTGTGTGTGTGTGTGTTGTTTTATGTGTTGTGTGTGTGTGTGTGTGTGTGTA